TTCAGTCATCGTTAATTGTGCCATAGGATGACAAACCTGCAACGTGACTTTGTTACTTAAAGGTTTCTCAATCACTGCTACCTTAAATAAAAACCCTTTCTGATTTTATGAATAGTTTCCCATTGATTAATCGTTCATCATCATCTTTTTCCATGTTGTCTATTCGTACAGCTGATAACATAAATTCAGTTTCATTGCGTAGTTCAGGGGTAACATGACTAGCTGTTAGTCAAAGGTGCGAACTCAGGTTGCGGATAGGAAACGATTTCCAGATATGGAGGCCAGCTGAGACAAAACGCCGTTGCGGAAAGGCAGCTGGGAGACCATCACTGCGTGGCCAAATTTGGGCTCAACAAGTTCGATCCTCAGAGAAAAGTCACGGTACCCAATGACAGTCTCATCGTTTCGAAAGAAACTCGCACTTTAAAAAGAAGCCGCCAATGTCACCACTGCCTTGCAGTTAGAAGGAGGTTAATCAATGGAGAGAACGGGCAAATTTGACATAAAAAGCTGGACGGAATTGGGGAACTCGTCTGCAGTAAATTCTCCCAGCCACCGACAGTCCTGTCAGCGGGTAATGAAATTTCAGGCGTTATGACAACGCGAATAAATGGACTTCGGTACACTGTGTCTCTCGGCCCATACGAAAGGCTGCTGGGAATTGCAAATGAAAGGCCGCTGTCTGATAAACGGATCCAATCTTCCCTCACCTTTCGCACCTACAACTGTAGTGGAAGAAACGTTAAACCAGCTAATGGAGGAAGGGCCATGGATGAGCTGCGACATCCCTGGCCTCTGCGTGACAGACGATGGAAGAAAGTGAATGGCATTGGGAGAGAGGATAGTTCAATTTAGCTAGGAAAAACAGAGGGCGCGAAGAACATGGAATGAATCGGATTTGCAGAAAGCAAAAACATGTCCTCTGAAAACGTCTCCTGCCATGTGAAGTCATTAAAACTGGGCTTTATGTGCTTTCAACTGAACAACAAACGAACTTTGAAGATCGTCCAAACCTATGCTCTCACAAACACAGATGACGAAGAGAAAGTGGAAGCATTCGATCAAGAACTGGAACAGGCATCAGTCCCAAAGTTCACTCATACCCTCGTTATGGAAGTCTTCAGTGAAAAGATCGGACGAGGAGCGGCCGGTGAAAAATTTGTCGATGGCATAAAAAATGAAATGTCATTTTTTCACGTAAACAACTAGGTGCGATAAATATAAGGACAATGAGCTAAAACTTGTATTTGAAGTAGATAACAGTTCGCTAGGTAGTGTCAGACTCTTGGATTATTTTGTTTCGTATGATTCATATGGGGGTATATGACAGCGATGAATTTTGCAGATCCTCCATAGTTTATAATAAGAGAGTTTTTCCATGAGTAAAAATATTTCGCATGCGCAGTTATTAACGTATTAGACGAAGAATGATTCTAAGCAATGTGTATTTCGACGGTGGAGCATACTCGGCAAACGCTTTTAGGATTTATGCTTTGGCTGAAGAGGTAAAGTCTACTGTAATGTGGCTCGGATCAATTGGCTTTGCTGTTCTCACCCCGTCGGAAATGTGATGAATCTTTATGTACATTCGTGTATCCTTTTCTAATGTCTAAGCATTGGTACTCTTGCATATGGAGAGTTCAATAATGCTTTACCGCCTTGCACGGCTTATTTCTTCATAATAATCAGCGAGATATTGTTTGCTCTACAAATGTGAAGTTCTTCTCACATTCTTGTCTCAACTTCTTGGAAGCTTCGACTTGCTCTCGAACATCTGTTAATCAGGAGTTCCATGCTCATGGTTTTAAATAGCACAGGTGATTTTTTCCCTATCGTTATTGCCGTTGCCGGTTTTCCATTGTTACGTATTCATCGAAGATGATACTGATCCAACAAGGTTTTATTTTAACTCGCTTTATGATAAAATCTGGAAGTATTCGGATAACGACAAATTGCAAAGAAGACCCTAGTCAAAAGCCTGCATTTCCAGCGACAGTTTCCAAAAATTGACACGCCATCCTGCCGACGTTAGATCAGCCAAATGCACGTCTTGTCATGCAGCTTTTCAGCGACATTTGCATCATTCTCCTACATGTTACTTGGCTACATAACAAGAAGGTGAGAAAAACACAGGTTTAGAAGATTTCTTCTATTACCGTATCGATAATCTAGGAAGATCTAAGTCACCCGACGATGGCATAATATCATGGATCAACTTGATCTGGTTGGCAAACTGCTTGACAAGACGATCTACAGTGTCGCGTCGTAGAATGCAAGCCAATCTGTCAGACTGAAGCCTACCAAAGGTCAGTAGTTCCGATGGTTGTCCGACACTTCATCGATCCAATGAATGAAAAGTTACCTTAGACAAGACTCTGATTAGCCTGATATGGATTCACCTTTTCATTGCTTATTTTACTATTTTGTGCTTTCTATTTATTATATATAGTTTTTGGTAACTTATAATGCGCCTTATGATTCAGTCAAGCAAAATTGACTGAATAATGATTGTTGGTTGTTTATAATCTAGCAGTGCGATTCATGTGAGATGAGCAAGCTGACTAAGAAGCTTGAGGTCAGAGCTGAAGGTTAATCT